GCAAGAGCAGCCAGGCTGATAGCAACGCGTCCACGAGATGCACCGGAGTGTGGTGTATGAAGGCACGGACTCCGGCCGGTGCAAGCACGAAATCGTTTTATTGCAAGATTACAACTATCTTTATACCCCCTCAAACTTCCCAAAAGTCCACATCCTGCTTTTCATAAACTGCTTCTTCACAGTCCCAAACACAGCATTCTCTAAGGTCGTTGACTCAGGCAGATGTTGTTATTGTTGGCTCAGGACTCTTGCTTGGTTTCGTCCTTGGGATGCCCTGTCACGCGGCCAAAGCACTATATTTGTTGATTCTCTACACCGGAGTGCCCAGGGGCAGCTCTGGCACCCTGTTACAGAGTGCTGTGGTGTCCCGAGTGAGGGCAACCAAAGCACTCGGAGACACAAATGCTTTGCTGTCCCGTAGCGAGGCAGGCAAGCAAGCAGGGACACCTAAGAACTGCCCGAGGGAGGGGGATGTCCCTTTAAGCACCGGCCTCAGATAGCCTCAGGCAACAGCCACACAAAGACACTCTTTGCCTGATGCCCTAACCCTCACCTGGTTCCGGCTAGCCTTAAATCCGAATCAGTGTCCACTCAGTGTGGACGCGGTATTTCAAAATAGCAAAATGCTATTTCGAAATGCATTTCGTGTGTAGACGCATTATTTCGAAATAAGCTATTTCGAATTAACTATTTCGAAATAAGATATTTTGAAACAACGCTGTAGTGTAGACATACCCTGAGATATTTCCTCATTTCAAGAAGGAGGAGGACCATTCTATATCTCAGATGGGTGGATGTCTTCATATGTTATTTGAGTTCAAGATGACCACTCTGGAGTCCATTATCTGTATTGTATAAATTTAAGTGAAATATATGAGCTAAATGGGTAAAAATAATCTAGTCACTGTCCAAAATTAAACAGTGTGAAGCAAGGTTTGGGTTTTGGGCCTGATTAATGCCATAGTAAACACACTGTTAAAAGTCCTTTAGATCTTTTATTAAAGACAAGGTGGGAAAACAGTGTTTGAAAGCATGGAATATTACATAAAACCTTCATAACAACAACATCCCTATTTCCTTTTCCCTTTAGATGGAGAGTGCTTTTATAGGGAAAACCTCCTTTGTCTGAGTTTTTAAGGTGATATTAATTATTACAATAATTAACCTTTTGGGAAATATAAGAAAGTAGTTGAGATGGACTGGAGCTTTTGCTGCTTTTTCATCCTGGGTGGTATTTTTGGATCCAGAAGTGACAGTGTCATCTAAGTCCCTCTATCTGGCCTGGTCAGAACAGAACATCTCTTAAGATCACAATGATGAAGACCCAGAGTCCTAGGATATGGAGGGTGACAGCCATGATTATGAAGATCACTCCAATAGTCAGTTTTTTACCCCAAAGTCTCTTTAACGACCTGATAAAGAAGTGATGGATAGAGTAGCTCATCCTCTCATTATTTTGTGCATGAATTAGGCCTGGTATCCAACACACCAATTTTCATCACTGACTTCTGGTTCCCACTTTTTTTGTTTACCAAGCATGATCTTAACACAGTTCTAGAGTTATATCAGTAATCATTTATGTTTAGACTAATTCGGTCTGTCTCCCTTTCTTACTTTTTCCCCATCAATGTTTGTTATAGATAATTATCCCATAAACTTTCATGTACTTTATACAGTTGATCACACAATTAGAGTAAATTTGTAGCCCCAATTATAACAATATCCCCTTCCCAACAAAGGCAACTGCTTCTCAGTTCTCAGTTTGAAGGATGTCTTTCATCATATAGACATTCACCCATCTCACATGGATTTTCTGTGCTTTTTGGTGGAACTAAAACATTACCAGTGGAGGGTTCGTTTTGGCCTCACAGCAGCCCCAAGAGTGTTCATGAAGGTGTTCTTGATAATAGCAACATACTTGCATTGCCAGGACAATCCAATTTTTCCTAACCTTGATAACTATCTGCTTGCAAGATCGTCATTTGGGGAAGTTCAACTGACAGTATGCTCAGTTTCCTGCAATCTGCAAAACTTCAAATGAATTTCAAATGTCCACTTTAATCCCCAAGCAGATTATAAAATTGATTAGAGCAACTCTGGATTTGACATAATTAACCCAAAACTAATTTACCTGAAAAAAGAGTCTTGCAATCAGGGATCTCAAAAATCACCCAACTTCAATTGAGTCCATAAAAACAGTTAATTTCTGTCTGGTCTTTCTACAGATACATAACAAGCACACTTCACCAGGTTCCATCTGTATTGCCTTGAGAAATGTATGTGCATAGTCTGCACTCAGAACATAAACATGTTAGATAAGTTGTGATCCCTCAGAGTGTTCTGACTTCTCTTATCTGGTGGGGGAAAAAGAAATCTGTGTTTGTAGGGGTTCCTTTTGTTTCCCCTTTAACTACAAAGAATCCCCTCTCTCCTAGGTTAGGGAGCACATCTGGACTGCCAAGAGGTGCAAGATTCTTGGGGCTTGTCTTCACTGCCACGGTCAATCTTCTGGCATTTGATTTAGTAGGTCTAGTAAAGACCCGCTAAATCGAATGCTGATGGTGCCAATTGTGAGGAGTAAAGAAAGTCAATGGGTATGTTTCTCCTGTTGACTTCCTGCTGTGGGGATGGCACTGAAACTTGGCTTAAGGTATGTCAACTCCAGCTATGTTATTTATGTAGCTGGAATTGCATACCTTCTGGCTTTAGTATAGACCTTCCCAGAGTCCCAGTAACACATCAGTCTTCTCAGACTTTGGACAGTTCATGAGGCTTGCCATAGGCTTCTGTCTTTCATATGTTCCCATCATATCAAACAACATAATGTCAGTGTTCTACCTTAAAAAGAGACAAGCTCTGGAATTGGTGCAACTGACATAAGATCACCCTTTTGCATAGTAATGAACCTTGTAGCAGAGAGCCTCAGCAGAGGTCGCTTTCACAGAGACTGCACGTGAGTACTTCACAACTGTCAGTGAGGTCCACTGTCATGGGACCTGTTTGCATCCTGGTAAAGAAGAAATGTCCAGTCTATGGCTCCTATGTTGCTCAAGGGCACAATTCCAGAGGGGATTTATTCATGGTTCAGGGGTCAGATACACTAGTGTATGCCTCCTCCATCATGTCCTGAATAAGATCAACCAGGACAAATTGACAGTGATCCTAGAGGCTTCTTGATGGCTGAAACAGTTTTGTTTACCGGTATCTACCAAATATCCACATGTTGCTGAACGTTCTGATTCAGAACAAAGGCAAAACCATCTATCCCAATCAGATCTCCCTCCAGCTTACAGCCTTGTATTTGGGTGACAAGCATAGAAGTTTTGCTGCAAGGACGTCCAATCCGCTCTCAGCTACTGAAGAAGGGCTTCCAGATTAAAATGTTATACTGCCAAATGGAAGAAATTCTTCACCTGGTGCCAGCATTGCCATACACATGCATTGGATTGGATTTTGGCATTCCAACCATTTTGGAATCGCCCCTTTCCCTGAAATCTTTGGGTTTATCCATTACCTTATTGTTTGTGCACCTAGTAGCATTCAAAACTTTCCATTCTCCAATAGATAAAAGTGTGGGGTATATTCATCCTTTTACCATGACATTTCTGAGGGGGGTTTTCAGAAACCAGCCTTCCCTCCAGTATTGGTGCCAATTCCTAATTAGGACCTTTCTCTCCTACTGTCAGAAATTATGAATCCACCATTTGAGCCTTTGGCCTCCTATTCCCTTTTCTAACAGCAATCATTTCAGCTAGAAAAGTTGGGGAGTTTGTGGCTTTTGTAGCAGACCCTCCCTACATGGTGGTCCATATTAACAAACTGTCACTAAGGTTACATCCCAAATTCATTGCGGAGTTCCCTCAAGATTCCACCTGAATTGGCCTATCCATCTACTGATGTTGTACCTGAAACTTCTTACCACTAGAAAAGCTAGAAGATAATTCCTTGGGTATCTGTAGAACTTTGGCTTTTTATTTACCATCAAAAATGAAGTCTTTTTGAAATTCTCTGAGATTATTCTTCTCCTGTGCTAAGTGGATGAAAAGGGAGGAAATTTCATTTGACACAGTCCCAAATTAGATTGAAGGCTATATTTTACTATATGACGGTAACTCCTTCTCCTCAAGGTATAAGGGCCTATTCAACTACTGCATGTACAACTTTTCTCAAATCTGTAGAGAAGTGACACAGAACTCATTGCATACCTTTACTAGACTTTATGTACAGGTCCAGGCTTGTTCAGCATTCTTTGGCACAGCAGTCCTGCAATCTGTGGTGTACCCTGGGTCCTCACACCCTCCTCCTCTTCAATGGGTACTGCTTGTGAGTTACCCACATAAATATAGGGGCCAGCATTTGAACAAAAAAGGGACGTTACTTTCCTTTATAGTAAATAAAGTTCTTCAAGATGTGTGATCCCATTGGGCATTTCATGCCTGTTCTCCTCCTCTGCTCAGCTAGTCACTTGATTTTCAGTAAAATAGGAACTGCAGAGACAGATTGTCTGTGCTTCCACTTGTGTGGTTCGTTTAGAGCATAAGGAGGCACAGGACAAAGGTGAATCAATAGATACTGCTAGTGAAGAATCTTACAATCTCTGATGCTGGAGCACATGTGAACTCCCAATGAATATCTGTATGGACTGCACAACTTGAAAAATTCCAATGATAAGGTAAGTTATTTTCCTTAAAAATTGCACAAGAAGAACAAATACTTTTATTGTTCAATTTAATTAGAAAAATAATTTCCAGAAGCCAAGAAATAAATTAGTCTTCCAAGTTCACCACTAAATCATAGATATCCTGTGGTCCCCAATTCAGTATATCAAATATAGTAACCAGACATTTAATTCAGAGATAAAATTATATTCTGTGAAATGCTTTACTTTTTTGAAGGTTAAAGTTTGACCATAATATGAGCAAGATGTCATCAAGCAACATGTTTTTTAATATCTCTGTTTGCTGAAGAATAAACTACTATAATCTCTCTTATTTCCACAGGCTGGAGCCCAACCAGATGGTTATTCTATAGTTCATAGAAAATGTCATTCTCAGTTTACTGACACAGCAGATTACAGAAGACATGGTATCAACACATGGCAAGATGAGAGTGGGATATATGCCAATGCGGATACAAAGCAAAAGGTCTTCCCAGTAACTAATCCTATATCCTCAAATGTATGTCAAGATCATTTCTAAGCAGTAATAATGGAATCTAAAATAGACACATTGTATCTCATGTATTAACTATTTTTCCAAATATTTCAATAAATATTTTTGAAATGCTTTCTACAGTAGATGCATTCTGCAAGTGATCTCTTTATATTGATTTACACTATACCTATATTATATGAAGGCTTTTTACTTTCTGGCCAAATGGGCTAATGCAATCCTTGGATATATAAATGGGAGTATTGAGTAGGAATAGAGTGGCTATTTTCTTCTATATTTGGTACGGATGTGACCATTGCTGGAATTCTGATGTCATAATTCAAGAAGGATGTTGGCACATTGAAGAGGGTTCAAAGAAGAGCCTCAAGATGAAAAAAGGTCTAGAAGACCTGCCTTATAGTGGTAGACTGAAGGACATCAGTCTATTTAGTTTAGTAAAGAGAAGGATAAGGAGTGATTCAATCAGCCACTAGGGCTGTGTCCAGACTCAGGGGTTTTTTCGAAAAAAGTAGCCTTTTTTCGAAAAAACTTCACCTGCGTCTAGACTGCAGCCGCGTTCTTTCGAAATTAAATCGAAAGAATGCGGCTTTTCTTTCGACGGTGGTAAACCTAATTCCACGAGGAAGAACGCCTTCTTTCGAAAGTGCTCTTTCGAAAGAAGGCGTTCTTGAAAGCAAACAGGCTTTTTAGAAAGAGAGCATCCAGACTCACTGAGTGCTTTCTTTCGAAAAAGCGGCTTGCTTTTTCGAAATTCCGCGTGCAGTCTAGACACTCTCTTTCAAAAGAGGCTCTTTCGAAAGTTTCTTTCGAAAGAGCCTCTTTCGAAAGAGGCTTGCAGTTTAGACATAGCCTAGGTCCCTACATGGAGAAAAAATATTTAACAATGGGATCTTCAAGAAAGGTATAACATGATCCAATGTCTGGAAGTTGAAGCTAGACAAATTCAACCTGGCATTGTGACATACATTTTTAAGTGAGGGTAATTAACCATTGGAACAGCTTACCAAGGGTCATAGTGCATTTTTATCACTGGCAATTTTTAAATCGGGATTGTTTTTGAAGATATACTTTGTAGCTCAAAAGGAATTATTTTAATGGAAGTTCTATGGCCTGCCTGTGTTATACAGGCAGTCAGACTTGATGATCACAGTGGTCCCTTCTGGCCTTGGAATCTATGAATATGTGAATGTGAAAAAAGACTATCTATGTGATGTACCGTTTGAAACTAAAGACTGAAGACATCACTGCCCATAAAATTCACTTTTAAAAAAAACAGAGCACAGTAGATTTCAGTCATGAACAAAGAGTCAGCAATCCTGCCTGCTGATCCTTTTTCACAATTGCCATGGTGCTTCCCACACCTGAACTTTACTGATGGTTGTTCCACACAATTAAGAGTCTATGAGTGTACCATTGTAATTGGCACATTTGGAGCGCAGAGACACTCCAGAGTCATTTGCTGATTGCTGGAATCCCTGTGGTAATTGACAGATGCACTAGCCTATGTTAGCTTTAAAGGCAATTGAGCAAGTCAGATGAAGCAAATCAGTTGGGCCTGCTGCCAAAAAGTAGTATGAGCAGTTTGGAAATGTACACTTCCCCTGCTTAAAAGCAACATAATGGGACCACCACCAGCAAAATAGTGAAGAAATGTTACCATCTTTAAAATCTGTAAAGACTGCAAATAGAAAGCAGATTAAGAACATTTTGAATCCTGGTTTCTTGCCATTGACCACCCAGATGTAAAGAGCTAGGATTTGGAAACTTATTTTTCCTCCCTTTAACAGCTCCCTCTCCATTAAGACAGGGATCAGAGATTTGATAGATCTAAGGATTTAACAGTTACCAGAAAAATCTCTCCTTGACAGACAAAGATAGAGACTGAGGAACAGAGAGATCAGCAAAGAATGCTAATATATTAGTGATCTGTAAAAGTATCTGGGAGTAAAGAGGAATCCATGTAAAAGAAGTTGTAAGATTCAAGAAGAGCCTGAGAGAAGAGGTAAAGGAAAACACGTAACACCCATCTCCTTCTTTTCATCCCCAAATTTCCAGAAAGAGTATTCGGCAGCATTTCAGCTGGCAGCAGTAGGGACCTATAAAGAATTGTTCACATTAATGAGAAATAATGTTTCACATAAATGAAATCCCTCCATAACAATTTTTGTCTCTACTGAGACACCCAAAAGTAAGGAGCAGAAAAGACCTTCAGTTTATCATCTCATGTGAAAGACAATAACTCTACCAACCTAGCGGCCTCAATAAGTCACTACAGTGGGAGCACTAGTGCGAATGTGTCTTGGGCTGTCTACACTGGTGCGAGCTCATGCAAAAGCGGCCGCTCTTGTGCAAAAACTTGCTGCCTGTCTACACTGGCCACGTGTTCTTGCACAAGTAAACTGATGTTCTAATGTATAAAATCAGGGCTTCTTGCGCGAGAACTCTGATGCTCCCGCTCAGGAATAAGCACTCTTGCGCAAGAGCTCTTCCGGAAGACGCCAGTGTAGACAGGCAACATGAATTTCTTACGCAAGAAAGCTCTATGGTTAAAATAGCCGTCAGAGCTTTCTTGCATGAGAGATCGTCTACACTGGCATGGATGCTCTTGCGCAAAAGCACATCTCTTGCTCAAAAGCACATGCCAGTGTAGACGCTCTCTTCTGGAAGAGTTTTTGCAAAAGAACTCTTCCGCAAAAGAGTTTTTGCGTGAGAACGCGCAAGTGTAGATGTACCCTTGGTGTCCACAGGAATCTTTGAGATGCGTATGAGAATGCTATCACCAGAGAATAAATTTCTGTCCTTCCTTGTGCCTGCACAAGCTGTTTCTTATGGTGAGGGCAAAATCTGGCCTTAACCAATTAAAGAAGCTTGGGCTGTCCAGAAAGTTGTCGTATCTGAGGCTCCATGATGTATAATTTTTTTGTAGAAATATGATCCTGATTACCGTCCCCTATCTTTTCTCCTTCTTTGTAACATATACATACAAACATGCAGAGATATGAAAACCAAAATAACTGTCATTGTAATACATAGTTGTCCTGCTTTGACTGAACACTCACAACAAGATATCTCCCTCTAGTGCAAAGATACTTTATTTACTTTAGTACATGGAGAAGCAAGATTTTAAAAAGAAACCTAAGAAAGTTAGATATCCAACTCCTCTTAAATTTCAGTTGTATTTGGGCAACTATTTCCCAAAATGCCAAATGAAGCTCTATTTTGGCTACAGGCTGAACCTCTGTGATCTGGGACTCTCTAGTTCAGCAACATCCATGGTCTGGCAGCAAAGCTGGTAGGGCTGCAGGAGCTCATGGGCTGTGCAGCCTGGAGAGCTGCTACAGCTGGGGGACCAGGGACAGCAGTGCCAAGTCTCTGGGGACAGGAACCCAGTGGAGAGGCTGGCACACACACCCCAACCTCCTCTGGTCCATCAAATTTCCTTGTCAGGGACCAGTTGGATCCTAAGGGTGCAGGACCAGAAAGGTCCAACGTGTAGGATGCTGACTCTTCAGAAGGGCAATTAAACATGACTAAACACATTTAACTTGAGGACTAGTAATAGAGATGTAGCCGTGTTAGTCTGGTCTTGCTGAAACAAAAGACAGGACTATGCAGCACTTTAAAGGCTAACAAGATAGTTTATTAGGTGATGAGCTTTCGTGGGCCAGACCCACTTCCTCAGATCAAATTGTGGAAGAAAATTGGCATGACAATATATACGAAAGGGATACAATAAAAAAAAAGTGAACACATATAAAATTGACAAATCAGATTTTAAAATGGGAGGAGGTGAGGGGGTGAGGTCAGTGTCTATGAGATAATGATATTGGGGTGATAATTGGGGAAGTTATCTTTGTAATGGGTAAGTAGTTCCTTAACAAAGATGCTAACTACCTGCTAAAAGCCCTGTTTTGAAAAAAAGCGGTGGCCGCCATTATGCAGATGAAGTGCGGGATATTTAAATCCCCCTTCATTTGCACTTTCGAAACATCTAACTTACATCCCTTTGCCAACAGAGGGGTGTAATTTAGACATAGCCAAAGATTGGTTTTCTTTACACCACACAAGACCATGGCCTCCTGCACTGGCTGTGTTGTCAAGGGACAATGAAAGTCAAAACAAATATCAGAAGACTAGTAAGAGACAAGTCCTTTTTCAGTATCTAGCTGATGACTCTGGAACTACCTGTCATAAGCGCCGAGGATGAGCCTGATCTGACCATCTTCAGGACAGGCTATAAGGACATCTTTTTTACTTGACCTTCTGACAGCTCCTATCTACAGACACATCAAAACTAAAAAAAGTCTCTACTAGTTTGCCCTCAAAATGAGGGAAAGAAGGGCAAGGAAAAGCAATAAGCACAGTCTAACAAATTCCACCTATGTCTAGTCAATGGGAGAGATACAGGAAAACAGAGCATTCATATGCATAATTTAAATGTGAGGCACTTGGGTGTGATGATGATAGGCACAGTAAAAGAACCCTAACAGAAAAGATTAAAGACTTCTGAACAGTTTTAATAGGCAGGAATCACCTGGTCTGTCTGGTAACTTGGAGGAAAGGAAAATGTAAAAAGTGTCATAGAAGGCATGTGATATGACTGAAGGCTTCAGAAGATTGTGTTTACTCCCACCATTCCCCACTCTAGGTATAGGAAACTTGTTCTTGTCAGTTGGAGCATTAAGAAGCTAAACTAAATGTAGGTCAAAATATTTATGCATGACAACTCCTGGGGGAGAGTTTTGTAAATACTGTATGATATGTCCAACAGAGGAACAAGGCCATGCTTTCAAAGAGAGGTGGGTAACCTCTCTTTTTCTAACTTGGCTTTCTTTTCTGGTATATATGACAAGGCTGTTCCCCACTTTGTCACCTTGCATACAGAAGGTGAGGGCCCGCAAGAGACCTTAAAATATCTTGCCTCTAGAGCCTTTCTTCTTGAACCCAGGAAGAAATCATTTGTGAACTTCTTCCAGAGGGGTACCCAAGCTCTTTTACCACAAGAGAGCCTGAAGAAAAAGAAAACAAACTGTAATCTCTGATAGCTGACCTCTCAGTCTTAGGTATGCATATACAGACCTCCTATTACCTCCCAGGACACAAGAAGCAGTCTTTAAAAAGGTAA